TGCCCCCAAATTACCTCACCGACCTGATACCCAAATACCACCCAACCCGTACTCTTCGCTCCCACAAGACCTCCTACTTTCTAGTTTCCTGGTCTCCACCTCCCACGCCCGACTGCAGGACTTCTCCAGGACTTCCCCCATCCTCTGGAACTCACTACCCCAATCCATCAGACTGTCACCTACCCTCCTCACCTTTAGGCGCACCCTGAAAACCCATCTCTTCAGGGAAGCCTACCCCGCTCTCACCTAACAGCCGATGTCCTCCAGTCCTCCTACCACTCCATCCCCCACAGCCACTTCCTCCTGTACCACTATCCCCTCCCTCCTAGATTGTAAGCTCGAAAGAGCAGGGCCCTGGCACCCCTTGTGTATTGTTTCGTTACTGTATTGTCTCATGTTCTGTCCCCCACTATAATGTACAGCGCTGAGCAAACCTTTTAGCGCTATATAAAACTGTATAATAATAAGAATAATGTGTCACTGACTGTGTAGATTGATGTGTGAATGGTGACGCATCTCCACTCGAGGTCACCAGCCCAACATACCTTATTAGTACTAGCCCAGGGGCAAATGCTTCCCTGTTCCCTAGCCCAGTTTTTCTCTGTAGAGGCCATCTATGATGATGAATGGGCTCTATATAATATATAATTAGGATTTTACTAATGGGCCACACAGCATGGATCTGGCAGGAGTGTGTACAGATAGCTTTGTTTGGGTGCTATGTGTGTGGGGGAAAAGCATATTAAAGGTTAACTGTATAAAAGTTTAGATATTCTTTAAAATAGGAGAACAAAGTTCACTTTTTGTAACTGAGACAATGAGGAACGAACAGCAATTAAGTAGCACATATGGAAAAAGCAATGCTGAGCTTTAAGTAAACCTGTGTGAGTACAATTACCATACAATTATATCAAGTTTAGGTTATATTAAAACTCTGTAATAACCAGGGATCTTTATTATGAGTCTCATAAGATATAAATGTGCAATAGTCATACATTTAATGTGTCTGGAAATAGCATTACACACACATATAGGTATCTGTGGCCTCAGTTAGTAGGACAGGCAACGAGACCCTTGCTGCCAGCTCTGCACTGCTCCGTCCAATAGCTCTTTCTCTTAATATCCCAATGTGACATATGGAAATTATTACAGCGGCTGCCGCAGAGGCTGTTTGCAAGACGGAGGAAAATTTATTTGTGAGCACATTCAGCCTTTTGTGTTAAAAAGCTGAGGGCAGCATTTCTGGGGCTGTTCTAGGAATGAGGGCAGGAAAACCCAGTTTCATCGGCGGCTTATAAGCAAAGGGCTCTTTTTTTTTTTTTTGTTTGTGTTGTAATCAGATGTCTTAAAATCCGTGGAATGCTCTGAGGATAGCAAAAATTTCCTTTACTACTCATGTATTTTATAAGAAGTTATAAAAACAAATCGTATGAACGTTGAACCCTCTGCGTGGGATGTGGGACTCATCCAAAGCTACTTGTTTTAAAGAGCTTACGACATTAAAAACTCCTAAAGAGACCCTGTTGCCTATAAAGCAAAGTACCAGTGGTGCTAGCCTGTAAAAAACCATGCTGAATCTTTTTGATGAGCAGTGAGTCAACTATTCACAAACACTTCTAGAGCTACCAGTGACATTGTCACCCGAAGCTTCCCCTGCTTGGCACTGTGGTTCTTCCAGCAGGCCGCTACATCCCTATTACGTCCTGTAGTGATGTAGCAGCCAGCGAGAGGAACCACTGTGCCCAATTTGGGGCCCACTATTCGACTCACCCAAGAGTGTTGGATAGCAGTGGCACCAGTAGCTCTGCAGAAAAGCGAAAAATGGGCTTAAAGTGACTCTAAAGGTTGACTTTTTTTAAAAAATAACAAACATGTTATATGCTCTGTGCAATGGTTTTGCACAGAGCAGACCCAATCCCCCTGTTTTTGAGTCCCTTGCCAGCAGTTCTGGCTCCTTCTCCTCAACTGAATGCCCCCAGTAGCAAGTCTCCAGATATGGAGGCACTCAAGTAAGCTCACTCCTGATCCACGCTCCTGTGAATGAACATTGTGCATTCACACACAGAGTGTGGTCTGACCCTGCTCCTCTTTCTTCACTGGCTCACTGGCTGTGATTGACAGCAGCAGGAGTTAATGGCTCCCCCTGCTGTGTGAAGAAATGAGCAGGCAGAGACCTGGGAGAGCCACGGCTCTTATGCACATCACTTGATTGAGATGGTGCTAAGGGGGGTTTGGGGGGGGAGGCTGCACCCAGAAGTGCTCGTCACACTGCAAAATCTCTGCCCTCCCTGATAGTCCCTGGGTGGGGTGCTGAAGACAGGCAGGGAGGTGAGTAGGCGATAAACAGTGCAATGTTAAAAGCATTAATAGTTTAAGCTCATCTAATGTAACCAGGGGCGGACTGACAACTCATGGGGCCCCCGGGCAATAGGGGATCATGGGGCCCCCGTGTCCTTGCCCCCCTACTGACCCCGGGCCATTGGGCAGTGCCCGAGTTTCCAAATGGTCAGTCCACCCGAATGTAACCAAGCAAGTTCATGGAAATAAATGGCCTCATGAGGCCGCTTCTGTTATTTTTTTATGATAAAGTAAGCTGTTTAAGATCACTATCTTAGCTGGGCTTGTTTGAATGCTGTAAAGTATTTTTAAGTCTGTTTCCTAACTTGCTATCAATAAAGATCTTATTTAAATAAGGTTTTGGTTAAATAAAAAAATTTCTATTAAGACAATTAGATTGGAACCCCGAATGAGTCCCTTGGACAAGTAGCTTTTAAAAAAAAGTCCACACCCCTTGGTCCACTGGCATGGTAATTACTCAATATGTTTTTTCAGAGGCTGGCTCTATTGCCAACATTCCCCTACTAATGTCAGGGTCACTTTAACCACATGCCGCCCAGCTACTGTAGAAATACGGCAGCAGGGCGGCATGGCTGGGTAAAACCACGTTTTAAAACGTGTGTTTTCAAAACAGGTAGGGGGCGCGCGCGAGGTGCGCCGCCGCCCTACCTGTCCTGCCGATCACGGCCGCGGATGTCAGTCGCCGGGTCACAGCTGGTCGTTACCGGCTATGTCCCAGCGATTAGTGGCAATCACTGATAGAGAGCACAGCTGCAGTAGCTGTGCTTTCTGTCAGTTCCCTGACAGCTCCTGACACGCTGATCGGGACAGAATAGTTTATCTGTCCAGATCAGTGTGTCTCCGTGCAGTACACACCCCCGCCCCCCCTAGTAAAACACTCCCCTCACACAGTTAACCCTTTCACTGAATAAAAAAGTTAACCCCTTCCTCCCCAGTGCCATTAGTACAGTGTCAGTGTTTTTTTTTTTGCACTGATCACTGTATTGGTGTCACTGGGGATGTCAGTGACCCCAAGTCAGTTCCCCTCCAGTGTCAGAATGTCCGCCTTAGTCCTGCAGTCCCGCCACAAGTCGCTGATCGCTGCCATAAGTCACTGATCGCCGCCATAAGTCGCTGATCGCCGCCATAAGTCGCTGATCGCCGCCATTATTAGTATAAAAAAAAAATTAAAAATCCCAGTATCTTTCCCGCCATTTGTAAACGCTATAACTTTCACGTAAACCAATTAATTTACATGTATTGGGTTTTTTTTTAGCAAAGACATGTCGCAGAATACATTTTGGCAGAAATTTATGACTAAATTTGATTTTTAAATTTTTTTTTACTGGACATGTTTTATAGCAAAAAGTCCAAAATATTGTTTTTATTCCTCAAAATTGTCAGCCTTTTTTTTTTATATCGCAAAAAAAAATAAAAAACGCACAGGCGATCAAATACCACCGAAAGAAAGCTCAATTTGTGGGAAAAAAAGGAGGTAAATTTCATTTCTGTACCGTATTGCATGACCGCGCAATTGTCTGTTAAACTAGCACATCGCTGTATAGCAAAAAAATGGCGTAAATTGCAGTATCTATACCATAGTTTGTAGACGCTATAACTTCCACACAAAGCAATCAATATACACTTATTGGGATTTTTTTTACCAAAAACATGGAACAGAATACATTTTCGCCTAAATTTATAACTAACTTTGAGTTTACTATATATTTTTTATAGCTGAAAGTAAAAAATATAATTTTTCTTCAAAATTTTTGGTCTTTTTTTGTTTATAGCGTGAAAAATAAAAAGCGCACAGGTGATCAAATACCACCGAAAGAAAGCTCTATTTGTGTGAAAAAAAGGACTTAAATTTCGTTTGGGTGCAGCATTGCATGACCGCGCAATTATCAGTTGAATTAGTGCAACACCGAATAGCAAAAAGAGGCCTGGTCATTAAGGGGGGTAAATCCTCAGGAGGGCAAGTGGTTTAAAACTGAACTTCAGGCAGATATATGGAAACATCTTTAATACAATTGTACATTCCTTTAAAGCTGAACTCCATGCAAACATCTGAATGCACAATACATGAAATACATGTACCAGCCAAATGAGATTTACACAGCTCTGTGACAAAGCTCAGCCCTGCTGTAGTTCATTAACAGTTACAGGTCTTATCTGACTTACACCCCGGTCACATCAGGTGCGACTTGGCATGCGATTTTCATGCCATACGACTTGCAAATCGTATGCCAAGTTGCACCCTATTATCCGCTTTTAGAGCGGTCAAATCGGTGCGGTTCCAACTTGGTCGGAGCCGCACGGATTTCTGAAGTAGTACATGTACTACTTTTGGTGTGATTTGTATAGACATCTGTGTCAGATGTCTTGCAATCGCAATGAAATTGGCATCTCACCTGATTTTGAAATCGTGCGACTTCACTGTAAGTCGTACGATTTCAAAATCGGCTTTGATGTGACCGAGGCATAAACCCATATGGGTGAAGCATGTCAGAGAGTGGTGTTCTCCAGGCAGAGACGAGTTGTGTTGCTTGAATGGCTGAATAAAAATGTACTGAGCCAGGTGATATCATCAGTGAGCCACTCCTTCTTTTATGTCAGTAATGAGGATGGGCTCCTTAGATCAGTATCTGATTAGCTTTGCAGAGGTGAAGGTATGGAAAGGTGACCTTTGCACAGGGGCGGACTGACAACTCATGGGGCCCCCGGGCAATAGGGGATCATGGGGCCCCTGTGTCCTTGCCCAAACTCAAAAAAGTCTATGAAAAAGGTACCAGGGGCATCTCATAGGGCCCCCTACTGACCCCGGGCCCTCGGGCAGTGCCCGAGTTTCCAAATGGTCAGTCCGCCCCTGCCTTTGCATGACTTACAAGTCTTGTAACAGCCTGTGACTGGACAGTGAAAAGAGAAGAAACTGACTGATGAGTTCATCTCTCTGTCACTCAGCTCTCTCCTCCTATCAGTGCGCTCCTTTTTCTGCTAATCCACCTCTTAGTCTAAGCTCTGCTGTACAGGGACTGCAAAAGGCTGACACAAGGACAAATACTTGCACTACTAATACTGTATTATTAATTCTAGAGCTGCATTAATTTGTGTCATTTCTATCTGCATGGATTTCAGCTTTGAAGTAATACCATGTCCATAAGGTTAGCATAACTAGTACCTGAATCTCTCCTGATACCACAGTCCAGTCATCTCGTCTAAAGCCCCGTACACACGATGAGAATATCGGACGAACGATTGCCCGTTTTTTTTCACCTGCTAGTCTCACATCGAAAGTGAAAAGGTTACTAAAGATATGAAAATTCTCATAGGAAAGAAAAGAATGTTGAAAGTGATGTAATGTATTGTATTGTATTTGTACTGTATTTTCTTATGACTACTGTACTGATTAAATGAAAATTGTACGTTGGTATTGTACGAGAGAAAAATTTTCGTGCTTGTCCCTTCGGATGTTGTCACACAAATTGTTGTGATCGGCTCTCGAAAGCTGCATACTAACGATCCAATTATCGGACAATTGGTCCTTGTACAAAAATGGTCGTACAATTTTTTTAATAGTGTGTACGAGGCATAATACAGCTGTATTTCTTTTTAAAGTAGTACAGTGTATTATTATATAAGATTAGAGGAAATTAATTTATTCTCTCTTGAGAAGAGGAGCTCCATGTATAAAACATAAGGGGGGGGATAATGATCTCCATGTATAATACATAAGGGGGGATATGATCTCCATGTATAATACATAAGGGGGGATATGATCTCCATGTATATAAAACATAAGGGGGGGATATGATCTCCATGTATAATACATAAGGGGGGGGGGGATATGATCTCCATGTATAATACATAAGGGGGGATATGATCACCATGTATAATACATAAGGGGGATATGATCACCATGTATAATACATAAGGGGGGATATGATCACCATGTATAATACATAAGGGGGGATATGATCTCCATGTATAATACATAAGGGGGGATATGATCACCATGTATAATACATAAGGGGGGATATGATCTCCATGTATAATACATAAGACGGGATATGATCACCATGTATATAATACATAAGGGGGGATATGATCTCCATGTATAATACATAAGGGGGGATATGATCACCATGTATAATACATAAGGGGGGATATGATCTCCATGTATAATACATAAGGGGAGATATGATCTCCATGTTTAATACATAAGGGGGGATATGATCTCCATGTAAAATAATACATAAGGGGGGATATGATCTCCATGTATAATACATAAGGGGGATATGATCTCCATAAGGAGGGATATATAATACATAAGGGGGATATGATCTCCATGTATAATACATAAGGGGGATATGATCACCATGTGTAGAATACATAAGGGGGGGATATGATCTCCATGAATAATACAAAAGGGGGGATATGATCACCATGTATAATACATAAGGGGGGATATTATCTCCATGTATAATACATCAGTGGTTCATATAGTGAACTCGGTGTAGAGTTATTCACCCTGAGGTCATCACAGAGGACAAGGGGGCACTCTTTACGTCTGGAGGAAAAGAAATGTAATCTCTAAACACGGAAAGGTTTCTCCACAGTAAGAGCTGTGAAAATGTGGAATAGACTCCCTCAAGAGTTGGTTCTGGCCAGCTCGGTGGATTGCTTCAAAAAAGTTCTGGATTCTTTCCTAGATACACAGAATATAACTGTATAGTAACATTTATAGGTATAGTTGATCCAGGGAATATCCGATTGCCTCTCGGGGGATCAGGAAGGATTTTTTTTTCCCAGCAAGAGCAAATTGGATCGTGCTTTGCTGGTTTTTTTTGCCTTCCTCTGGATCAACTGTGGGTATAGGATTATAACTTTTTTTTTCATGGTTCAACTGGAGCGACTTTTGTCTTTTTTCAGCCAGACTAACTATGTAACTATGTAAAAAAAAAAAAAAATTACATATAACTAGCTCCTGAAACTGTCCCAATGCCAGACTCCTGTCATCCCCTACACAGCGGAGATCCGACTGGGAGAGGGAGCAGCAGCACTCTCTCAAAATGTGCATTTATTGCAGAGATAAACTGACTGATTAGCTAAACACTACATTTCTTCTACACATAGATATTTTACTATACAAATACTATAGTACAAAAAATACCTCAACAAGGCCAATGCCAATGGAGTTCCTCCAGTGCATTAACATGTACATTTGGCTGATGCTAGCATGCATTTTTAGGCAATGACTGTTGAGATAGTCCCATAAAAAATCTTTAGGTCCAGCACAGATGCAGCCAGCAGCAAGGAAGATTTAAGGCGCAGGATGTAAACACTGCGGCAGGTTGCAGCTATCACATTTAGATAAGTATGCAGTTGGGACTGGGAGAGATATTTTAGATCAGGGCTTGCTGGAGAGACAGGGGTTGTGTAAATATACGTGCATTTATCCTTTAAAAAACATTTGACGCCATCTTGTGTCTATGGTTACCTTTACCGTTTGATCATACACGTTCCCTCCAGCTTGCTTGCAGTAATATTCATAACAACACAGTAATGAGTGTCTAGATGTGAACTCTCTGAATATACTCCCAATATACAGAAAACATTCTCTTCTAACCATGCACACATCTCCTGCTGGCTATAGGAAGCAGAGGTTAATGGAAGCTGTGCTGTGTGTATTTTTGTGCTCATGGTCATGTGTATGAGTGTAATTGGGTAAATATCCCATATTTTCACATATAACCAATGGTGTTTATTTTAGTGCAAATTCTGAATTCAAACAATGTTTTGTTTCTTTACCCTTAGATGGCTGTTTGTGTATGTCATCGTCATATGGATTCTTTTCAAGCAGAACGTTTGTGAAGTCAGTGGAGGAGTTGCCTATAGAAGCTGAACAGTGGCATGGAACAGATCACAGAGGTCACAGATGTGACTGGGCCCCTAATCTCCAGGAGTCCAATAAGCCTCTCTACTAACTTAATGCGGAATTCCAGAAAGACATAAAAGACATCTCCATTACTTAATGGTCCTGTAATCTATTTTTTATAATATTGTTTCTTGCTGTGTTTTTCTGCATCCTTGTAATGTCCTCCATAACCTACTGAAATATAAAGGAGTAAATGCGCCCAGGATACCTCATAAAAAAACGTATATAAATTTTCATTTTCAATTACCCTACCTATACTTATACTGTAAGTGCCGGTGATTGCCGCAGGTATAAACATGTGTATGTCAGCCATAGTGCACAAAACATTCAAAACCTTAGCTGCGCATATCACAAATAAACATCCAATATCAAATAAAATGAAATCAAATGCAAAGAAATATAAGTCCCAAAAAATAATCCCAATCAGTGCAAAAGTGTCATTGCATTAATATTAGTATGGTGCTCCACTTGACAGTGCTGTTGTACTCCACATGGAGTTCCACTCACCCCATATCGGTGGTGACCAACTATTGCTAGTGTGGTCAACAGTGCTTTTGGGGAAAACCCCTATGCAATCCACTCCATTGAATTTTTCCAGAAAGATGCAGTGTGGAAGGGCAAATTTTCTCAGAGGGTAAATAGCAGAAGAGAGGAACTTTCAAATATCCATGAATACGGGTAAATCTCAATAAAGTAGAATATCATCAAAAAGTTAATGTATTTCAGTAATTCAATACAAAAAGTGAAACTCATATATTAAATAGATTCATTAACCCTTTGAGGACCGTAAGATTTTGGAACGCCAAAAGAATCAATTTTTTTGTTTTTAAAGTTCGTACACTTCAGTTGCTGTAACTAAGCCATTTCATTAAATAATTGGCAAAAAGCTAGATCCATTTGTTGTTTGTTGATAAGAACTAATATTTTGACTCAAACCAAAAAAAAAAAAAAGTTTTCAGTTCTTAATCAGATGATACACGCAATTAAAAACATGGGACAAATACGTCCCTTTGTCCTCCAAGGGTTAAACACAGAGTGATATATGTCAAGCATTCCTTTCTTTTAATTTTGATGATTATGGCTTACAGCTAGTGAAAACCCAAAATTCAGTATGTCAGAAAATTAGAATATTGTGACAAAGTTCAATATTGTAGACTCGTGGGGTCACACTCTAATCAGCTAATTAACTCAAAATACCTGTAAAGGTTTCCTGAGCCTTTAAATGGTCTCTCAGTCTGGTTCAGTAGGTTATACAATCATAGGGAAGATGGCTGACTTGACCGTTGTCTAGAAGACAATCATAGACACCCTCCACAAGGAGCGTAAGTCACAAAAGGTCATTGCTAAAGAAGCTGGCTGTTCACAGAGTATATTAATGGAAAGTTGAGTGGAAGGAAAAGTGTGGTAGAAAAAGGTGCACAAGCAACAGGGATAACCGCAGCCTTGAGAGGATTGTGAAATAAAGGCCATTCGAGAATTTGGGGGAGATTCACAAAGAGTGGACTACGGCTGGGGGCAACAACCACCACGCACAGACATATCCAGGACATGGGCTACAACTGTCGTATTCCTTGTCTTACCTGTTGTTCAGTGGTCCAAAGTCCTCTTTTCGGATGAAAGTAAATTTTGCATTTAATTTGGAAATGAAGGTCCCAGAGTCTGGAGGAAGAGTGGAGAGGCACAGGATCCAAGTTGCATGAGGTCCAGTGTAAAGTTTCCGCAGTCAGTGATGATTTGGGGAGCCATGTCATCTGCTGGTGTTGGCTAGTTGTGTTTTATTGAGTCCAAAGTCAGTGCAGCCCTCTACCAGGAAATTCTAGAGCACGTCATGCTTCCCTCTGCTGACCAGCTTTATGGAGATGCTGGTTTCATTTTCCAGCATGACTTGGCACCTGCCCACACTGCCAAAAGTACCAATACCTGGTTTAATGATCATGGTATCACTGTGCTTGATTGGCCAGCAAACTCGTCAGACCTAAACCCCATAGAGAATCTGTGGGGTATTGACAAAAGGAAGATGAGAGACACCAGAC